CATCTCACCAGCCCTAATGCTGACCTTATGAGTGAGAAACTGATTGCCAGAGTCTTGTTCATTCTTTAACTGTGTTGTGAATTTGCCAGTAAAGATGTAAACAGTGGGTTCAATTTTAAAAATAACTGTAAAATTTATTCAGGTTATCTACTTAATTTTAGTTAAGCTTGGTAGTTATCTTTCAGGAATTGAGTCATCTCATCACACTCAGGGGTCAGAATTGTTCGTAGTATTTTCTTGGTATCCTTTTAATATCTTTAAGATTTTTAGTGTTATTGGCTCTTTCATTCCTAATATTTTGTTTTGGGTCCAGGAGATGGCACAGTGGCATACGTACCTGCCTGGCGAGCACAAGGTCCTGTGTTTGATCCCTGGTACCATCAAAAAGAAAAAAAAAAAACCAAAAACCCTAATATTTTGTTTTGTCTGCTTTGGTTTTTATATGTGTGTGTGAGACAGAGTCTCACTAAGTACAACACTCCTGGCTGGCCTCCAACTCACTATTATAGTTGAAGCCTAGGCAGGCTTCAAACTTAGTATTTTCAACCTCGAGTGTACTGGGAGTGCCACGTGCCTGAGTTTCTTTTTATTTCTTTTTTTTCTTTTCATTTCTAATACTGGTAATTTGTCTTTTATTAATCTTGCTAATTCATCAGTTTTATTGCTCTTTTCAAAGAATGTTTTTGGTTTTGTTCATTTTCCTCTATTGTTAATTCTTTTTTCCCTTGTATTGTCTTCCTTCTACTTGCTGTGGGCTTTATTTTGCTTTTATCCTCTAGTTTCTTACAGCGTAAGCTTTTTGAATTAAGATCTTTTTTATTTAATAAAAGCAGTTGATAGTATAGTTTTCTCTGCCATAATTTTACAAAGTGTTTTTGTTATTTTTTTATAGTGTTATTTTTATTTTCACTCAGTTTACAATATTTTGTAGTTCTTCTTCAGACTTCTTAAAGCCATAAAGTTATGTGGAATTTTAATGTCCAAGTGATTAGATTTTCCTGTTATGTTTATTTCTAGGTTTAATGTTTAAAGGACATGCTTTACATTTTGATTTTCTTTTTTTCTTTTTTTTTAAGGAAACCTCTAATCATTTTTGGGGATGGGGATGGGGTTACAGGAACCAAACTCATGATCTTGTGTTTGCCAGGCAGGTGCTGTGCCACTGAACTATCTCCCTGGCCTGGTTTTCAAATTTTTTAAGTTTTAGGACTCAACATGTAGTTTATGCTGATCAATGTTCCATGTGTACTTGGAAAGACTGCTTAGGACATTGTTTTGGGTTTTTTTTTTTTTGCACAGAACCGGGGATTGAACTCAGGCCATGAAAGCAGTTATTCTACTGAGCCATCTCCCCAGCCCCAGGACATTGTTTTAAGTGAACTAAATTTAGCTGTTATGCAGTTCTTTGCTAATATTCTAATAATTTGTATGTGTTACTATTTTTTTAAATTTTTATTTATGTGTGTGTGTGTGTG